CTCTCTCTCTCTCTCTCTCTCTCTCTCTCTCTCTCTCTCTCTCTCTCTCTCTCTCTCTCTCTCTCTCTCTCTCTCTTGGTTATCATCTTTATCTTTCTGGCAACTACACATTTCTTCGACCTTTTTTTGACCTTTTATTCATTCTTCTACTTCTTTTTTGCTTTTCCCGTTAGTTTTAGGGTTGTCAGTAGGAGCCGAATAAAGAGTTATATCTTTATCTTTTTTACAAGTAGGACAACGAGTAGCCTTATAATGTAATCCTGTGATACTTTCGTCAGCATCATTACCAAAAAAAACTTCTACTTGCTTACTATCACACTTGCTACATCAAGTTTCATCAGGAATATCGTTAGGATGTTCTTCGTTGCCACAATCTAAACACTTACGATAAGACCATTTTATTACTACCCCATCTTTTTTAATAGGGGTTCAATTTCCTTCTTTTCCTTTGCTAATATTCTGATAATCTTTTAAATGCTGGTCTTGATTAGTTTCATAGCACTTATCACATAAATAAATTGCTTTTTCAGGGTCATTTTGATAAAGACTATAATTGTCTCCCTGATATATATCACCTATTCACAAACCTACTTTTTTATTACACTTTTGACAACGATTTCCGTTTTCTTGATTCATATATTATTAATTTTTTGTCTAATATATTAAAATCAATCGTCAAATTCCTTTTCTTTAATGTTTCCTTCCGAAGCTAAACCTTTCCAAGGACAATTATTACACTCTATTTTCATTTCTTTTAAAACTTCTTTATTTTTAGTGCTAATAGGTGTTTCGGTTTGGCATTGAGGACAATTAACAGCAAATATTTTCATTAGTATTCAATAACTTTTTGTTCTTTTTGGAAAGCAGGAGAGTTTGCTTCTGGGTTAGAGTTAGTTTGATGCTGGTCTAAATCTTTACTAATTTCGTCTAATTGTTGAATGGTTTCTTCAACTTTCTCTATGGAGAAGGAGTGAGGATTGTCTGTTAGTTCATCCTCAATTTGGTTGACTTTTCCTCAACTAGTAGCAAGAGAAGGCGGGGAGGAAGAAGTTGGTTGGTCTTTAGTTGGTTCTGAAGCAGTTGGTTGACTAGGAGTTGGTTCTTTTTCCGGTTTAGCCGTAGTGGTCGAGGACCCTCCTGTTCCTCCACTT